CTTAAGGAACAATACCTTAAAGACTTAGTGTTTATTTGTACAATCTGGAACTTGTCCCAGAAAGGACAGTACAATCTATGAGTGAAACGCTGAGAATCATTGATGATCTAGATCTGCAAATGAGGAACTATATTTCCTGTAATTTTCCTGCAGCTTTTATCCATTGAAATCCAATCAAGATCACATAAAAGGAGAGAGCCAATAAGATACTGAATCAAATTAAACATTTATTTTCTGGTGAAGAGTAACAAGCCTTTTTTCAAATATCTCAGTGAGAAAGAGGAAAGGAAACAATACTGTACAAAGACTTACAAAACTAGCATTGAACAAAGCACTGAAAAGAAAAATACAGGGAAGGAAAAGCTTTTCCATTGGATGGAAATGGATTAAGTGATATAATTAACAATTATGCTTACAAATGTCTGTGATGTAATAAATTTCTAGTTTGAAGCACTTGCTTTAAGGCAAGAAAATCACTACTTATTTTTCACTGCACAAAAAATAAGCATATATTCTCATTATACGGATAATCTTTGGAAGTTTGTATGTAATTTCAAAAATCATATGTTCTCATTTGTGATAGCTCTCCCACATTAGACGCAAAAAAAAGAAGACTATGAAAGGCACTAAACACAGAATACAGAAAAAGAAAGATTAAGAGAATTATTTAATTGTCACAAAATTAGAAACTGCAGTTTTCATTTTGTCTGCATGAACGGTAAAAAAACGTTTCTCTGAATAAGAGCTGCAAAGTACAATGCCAATTTACAAGTGTAGTAGATTGACTTAGTCCCATTAAAACAGACTGAGAAAAAATTACTATTTTGCATTAAAAGTGAGTGTTTAATTAAGACTGTTGTTCCATTTAACAAAAACTTATATCCTGAGAAACACTCCCACTTGTTAGATCACTGTATATGCAACTCAACAAAACAACTTTGTTAGTCTTCTATTTCAGTAGAAAACAATTTGCACTTGAGAACTGTCCACAATATAATCTATCTGGTTTGGCTACAACACAAACAGAGCACATTCAAAAAAGGCAAAGATTGTATATTTTTCTTGTGCAATTACAAGTTCTACACAAATTCCAGTTCTACATGTGGACATACTCTCATCCTGCTTTCAAAATCAGACTCTAATTGGTACAGTCTTTTATGATCCTGTAGCTAGAAATCAATCACTTTATGACAGGGCTGAAGTAGTGAAGTGTGTCTGAACAACACTTCTCAAAGAAGTGCAGATACTAAAAGATAAGTAACTTTTGTTTCATTCATTAAGAGACTGTTGCTCAGAGTCTCCTGGCTGACTAGTAAGCTGCACTTTTGACTTTCTCAACAGATGGTCTGATTACGTCTAAAGATTCTACTATCCCTAAAAATTGTTCCGAGTGCCAGTGAAAAGGAATCCATTAAATCTAAAAGCTGAAGGGATGAAGCAGGCACGTGTCAGCCTGGATCTCTGTCTCCTCAAGATCTGAATTTTGCATACTGGCTCTTGTGACTACATTTATAGCTGGAGAGTCTTGTCTGTGAAAGGAGGTCTGAAGAAGTCAAAGCATGGAAGATCATTTGATCATCAGAACCTTCTTCCAAGACACAGTAAAAATAAAAAACTAGCAGTATAGAAGTTCAGATATAAGGAGTGATTACTTTTCATTGAATATCTTACTTTGCTATGCATCAGAAAAACTGTGGCACAGCAGTAAGCCAAAACACTCCATGGATGTAAATTTTTTTAGTGCAAGAATTTGAAACTGCTTAACTGTCAGTTTTACTGGAATCTACTGGACAGATCGTGAACTGGAACCTAAATGAACCAGGTTAGGGTCACAACCACTCTCAGCTTGCTGAGCAGCCCAAGGTAACTCACATCACCCACTGACTGTCGCTGTCTCCACTTCCATAAACAGATACAAATGGTTTCTTGCACTTGTCACAGCATTTTGACATGAACTGAGGGGAATTCCAGAACAAAAGAGAAAAATCTTACAAGCTTGTGGACATAATTCAGTAGTGAGATCTTGAATTACACGTTTTGTGCCCTTTCAGGTGAGGAGGATTTAAACGGTTTAAGTCACTTTATGTTTTCCTAATGTGAGGCTACAAAGAAAAAGTTGAACCCATATATAACTATTTAAGCAACTTGAGTGACAATAGCTTTTCACTGCTTTTCTGTGAATAGTAGTCCTGACTAGAATCATTACAAATCCTACGGCTGGCTTCCTACACTAGAACTTCCTAATAAAACCCTGAAGATATTCCATAGCTGCCCTGCTTAACTACTAAGACAGAAAAAAAAGCTGAAGTCTTCTCCAACCAGACTCAGGATTAAGAGTTTCAATCTGGGCAAGCATTCTTACCCGTTTTCAGTTTGCCTAAGAGCAAGTTAATTTATTCTTATCTGTATAATACTCTTCAGATGTCCGACTAACACTAAATTCTGGAATAGAAGGCTACCAGCCCTCTAAGCAGACCTCTATTTGCCCCGGTGTTGATATGGGCAAATAATGGTGCCACAACACCTGAACTCTCCAGATGGAATTAAGTAATTTTTAGTCAGAGGGAAGAGTTGACTTTCCTAAACTCAGGCATCCAGTGCCATCAGAAATGCTGTAGGGTGTCAGAGACCAGACCAGAGACGGGGATATGAGACAGGACCAATGAAAGATCTCTGCTCTTCTCGTGTGGCAAACAGATGACCTAGGATGTGCAACTCAGCCTCCACAATGGCCCTAGACACTACGTTTAGGCAGCTGAATCCTATCCTCAGTTTCAGGATGCAGGACAGTCAAGCTTGAGCCTGCTAAGTTGCTCAATTTCAGGTGCAGGAAAAGGTGTTAAATTGCTTAATCATCTCCCATCATCAGCTTTGACAGCAAAAATCAGATTTACTGACAATCTGGGCAGTACTTCTAGGGTGACTTCAGGAACTTCAGCCTCAAGTTGCTATCCTTGTTCCTGCTGTTCACTCTCCTTCAGAGATTTGTTTTCTATCTTTATGCAATCGGTATATTGCATCAACAATTAAATCACTAACCTCTTTCCAGCCTGCTCTGAATAGAACATCCATGTATTTTTCCCATATTTATGTTTATGGAAGAGAGCTTTAATTCCCTCCCCCAGGCAAACCTCAACTGAAGCGTGTCTCTAGCTGTTGCTTCATTGAGTTCCCACGCAGAACCTCTTTCCTCAGCTTCAAAGTCTGGTTTCTGGACTTACATGCTAAAAGCCGTTGCCTTTTTCATGATGTAAATTAAATAATGTATTTTAAAAAGTTGATTAATAGTAACTTGTAGTATTAGATTCAGAGGCACCAGATAGAAGATGTGGGCTTGCAGCCTCATGCCTCCGCCAAAAGCAGAGGACATCATTTCACATTACCATGTAACATCCTGCTACCATTTCCTGCTACAACAGCACATTATGTGGGAAAATGGGTAACACAGTAATAGTGCTAGTAGCATGCTCTTCAGAGGTTAAAGACGGACAGTAGCGATGCAAGCTTCCCTTGCGTTTTTAATGAACAGAGCTAGGCCTGGAACGGAAAAGGTAGTCTTCCCTCCAAGCCATTCAGATCACTGACTTATCTGTGACCAGTAATCAACCAATTTTAATCTGCTGTAACAGAGTTTCAGGATAGAGATATATGATAATTCTACAGGAGACCTACTAGATCATGACAGCTTAAAAAGCTAAAATCTAGCCCAAAAGCCTTTGCATGTATTTCACATTGAGGCCAATAATATTTTTTTCATGGACTTCAACACTAAAAGCAGCATTAAGAAGATTTTTGTAACTTATTTTGTATACAATTAAAACTAGTCTCAAGTAATCACTCAAAAAAAAATCAAAGGGATTAAGTATTTAATTTTTTTTTTCAGTACATGTGGGCTTCAAGCATCTACATTGCTTTTGCAGCATGTGATAATACCAACTTAAGACTACGGAAACAGCTTGTCCAATTTCTAGTTTAACGTCACCTGTGCGTGTATGTGCATTTGAGCAGAAACCCAGAACTGCAGACCAATATCAAAAAGATGCGCAAAGAAAATTTTAAACTACTCTCTGATTGCAAGAAACACATGATCACTGCCAACTTTAAAACACCTGATGTTCTAATCAAGTGAAATGAGGACTTAAAGAAAAGCATGGTGGGGTTCAGTGTACTGAACATAAATTTGTAGTATTAAGAGGTACTGCACAAGAAAGAATACACACTAGTCTTGCCAAGAAATGGAAAGATGAACAGCACCAATACAGGAGAGGATGTAGAAGCATAGAGACTTCTTGCAAAGAAGTTAAGTGCAACTAGGCAAAGAGGATACTTATGTCACTAAAAATAGAACAAATAGGAGGGTAGCCTAAATACTGGCACCGAGGAAAAGGAGGTGAAAAAACAGGCACATGCAAGGAGCTTCCACTGTGAACAACAAGTTTGGCACTTAGTGTACAGAGACAAAACATTACTTGCAAACTGTTAATGTACAAAATCTTATTCATCTGCAAGTTCGAGGGAAAATCCAACAAAATAAACCAGTTACTATCTTCAAAAAAATTGCCTGGCTATTTGCCAAAAATTATGGCTATTAAGGCCACAGCATAATCATTAGCTCCTCACAACAAACTGCCAATCAATCACTGCCAAATTCTGATGATCCCAAGCAGGGTATTACACAGATGATGTTAATAAAAAATATTGAAATAACTTTCAGTATACTTATGAAGTACAAGTGGTATACATCATATGGTCCTCTCTGATAGATTTAGCTATACTACCAGGCATTGAGTCGTAAGCTTGAAGATTGACTAGTGTCTGTTGTAACTTTTAGTAGTATGATAAACAACTTACAGCAAAATAGCAAAAAGTATGAAACCAAGCTGGTAGGTACTATCATACAGCTTTTACAGGTGGGTAAAAAGCAATATGAGAATAAAACCAATATGTTTCTAACTTTTTTTTTTTTTTAAATCAAAAGTGATAAGAATAGTTCAACTTACTCTTTTACTGAGGCAGATAACTGGCCACATACTACAACCTAAAGTGCAGCAGCAGCAAAGGCATCCACAAAGTAGCCATCGCACATTAACTGGAAGGTTCTTCTTAAGACAGCTGTTAACTCTACTGATGCTGGCTTTAAATTCTTCTGGTGCAACCTGTGAGGAGGAAAAAAAAATCTAGTACCACAGCAGTGTGATTTATTAATTACTCTTATGGAAGCTGCACTGTACCTAGAACTCTTGCTTTTATAACAAAATCTTACTCAAATTCTAAGTTCTTATTCACAGATACTCACCTTTCCAGTTAAAGATGAAGGAAATTCTGCTTCAAATTTGTTACTCAGTCCAAATCTGCAAAAATAAAATGAAGATACCAAAAATCACACAAAAGAACCCAACATACAACACCAATTAAAAGCACCTCATAATACAGTCAGGGTTAATATAAAAGTAACATCAATTTCAAGAAGAAATGTTCCTTGCTAAAAGTAATCCTTAAGATTATCCTAACAGATGAAAATGAGGGAGATAATTCTATCATAGTAAAGAGGTTAAAAACCAGCCTGCCCATAGTTTCTTTTTAAAGTTCTGCTGAAACTGCTAACTCTTCTCTAAAACCTTCAAAATCCTTATAAGCAATAATAGCAAGCATGAAAACTGAAGAGAAGTACTTGGGGGAGGGGGGGAATAAGTAAGTTAATGACGCAGTTTGAATTTTTTTTCTCCCTAGTGCACATGGATCTTGAAGAAAAGCTCATCCACTGTTATTCAACTCAGATTAATGAAGAATGCAAAGTTATGAAGGAGCATGAAAGGATCTGGAATTACCGCCTAGTCTGAATTTCGGAAGATCCAAAGATGAGAGTTTCATCTCAAAAAATAATTTGTTTTGCATCTTAAAGCTGTCTTGTGGGCTTCATGAACGGCTAAAGCTCAAAGCAAATCTGAACATTTTCTGGTATCCAGTCTGGGGAAGAGCTTCTAATACAGACTATACAATCCTACAAATCCATTGATAAAACTCTATGACTGGTCTCTAATATGCTAAATAGCTGTTAGTGTAAAATTTAAGTTGTAGTTAATAACCGTCTGAATATAAACTAAAGCAGTCTTATCAGATACTACAAACATCCCACATTAGAAGTTAAATTGCTCAAGAATACTTGAATACTGGCAGCAAGACCAATTACATACAACTCAACTGTGTGCAGAAAAGTATACTTGAGGCTTGACAATTGAAGGCAGTAAAGAAGTAATTCATTTCGACAATATGCTTATTGAACAGCTAGCTACTCTTCGGATAATTTTCTTCTTAGTGGACTGAAGGATCTGCAGGCCAATGGAGAACTCTGAGTAATCAGCTGGGCAGTCAATTGCCATACCGATGGTGAGGGACTCTGAAAGGACCTCACAAAATTAAGTGGACAAAAAGATGGCAGATAAGCTTCACCACAGATAAACAAAAGGTGCTGAAAGTTTGGAAAGCTAATCTTAACCATGTTCACATGAGGCTGAACTTAGATTGGCAGCTACAGCTCAGGAGAACACCATTGATGCTTCTCTTAAAACATCAGCTCAACACGCAGCAGCAGCCAGAAATGACAACACCACTCTGGGCACCCCTAAGAAGGTGATTAAGAATAACACAGAGGGCATTATTTTGATTCTACATAAAACCCTGCTACACTCACATATTCAGTACCATATGCAGTTCTGGCATCTGTATCTCATGAAGGACTTTGTGGAGTTAGAGAAGGCAGGGAGAAGGAAGACTACTATACTAAGGGGTTGAAGCAGCTGCCCTGTGAGACTAACAAGACTGATGCTAACTTGGAGAAGAAAAGGCTGAGGGGGAATATGATCAAAGTACAAAGATTCAGAAAAGCAGTGGATAAGGTGAATGATTAACTGTTTATCATCACATCCCACAACAGAGGGCACTCACTAAAACTATTAAGAGATTGGTTTAAAATAGATTAAAAAGTGCTGGATTTAGGGGGGCACAAAAATAAAATTTTCCCCCAGTCTCCTGCTCGGAAATAGTTGCATTGCTTTAGTAGAAATTTACAAACACACTAAGACGGACCTCCAACATGGAAACTTTTGACCAATACAGTTATAGTAAAGTTGTAAGCAAATGACAGTAACACTGCAGCTGAGGCATGTGGCAATGTTTAATACACCATGGGAATAGCACAGGCAACTCTTTCAGCTACTAACTTCATTCCAAGCTTTCCATGTTACATTGCATTACCAAAAAGCTGGTAGTGAGAAAAAGGATGACTCCATACATTAAAAGCTTTGGTAAGCAAATGATGTGATCCCAACCTTATCACTCTTGACTGCATGCTGTAATCTGGAAATTAAAAGATTAGAAATTCCACATAACACTACTAAAGCTTCACTGTATAGAAACAACAGCTGTGGCAAAGAGCAGCAAAAAGAAGGTCTTACAATGAAGCACATTATACCAATGACACTTCAGAACTGCATTTCCTCAGACAGCTGTCCTCATCTAGCGCTAGATTTCTATTGCACAATCCTCCATCTTCAGCGACACATACATTTTTCTGCCTGCCCTATGCCTTTCCCATTTGACATTACGTCCTCAACAGATCCATGCTCACCTCATGCATGAGTACTTTCTTTAACCTTCCTGGAACCTGAAAAAGTGTTTCTTGAACATGTCTCTGCTTGAAAGGTTCATCTGAGTTCCTGCCCTTGTATACAGTGGAGAGAGAGAAATGATGAGAAGTGGAATCTTTGAAGTATAGAAGATTACAGTATAGAATCAGTCAACCTGCAACCTCTTCTCAGCCTGCAGCTTTGATCTTCCTAACTCATAAAACCGACACACAAACAATCCTCTTCCCCTTCGTCCTATCTAATGGGGACTAAACCATTTTCCCATTGCTCTCAACTTGGCCCTTTAGTTCTGCATGTTCACAGCCCTTAGAAAAGATATATATTCCATCAATCCTTAACACTGTCCATCCATAACTCTTCCACAGTCCTGTTTTCACTCATATGTCCTCGATTCAACATAAGCTGCAAAAATACATAAGCAGACTTAAGTTAATAATAAAGGAACTGTCTTGGGTGAACATGTATTTTGTGATTTTTTTTCCCTCCAAACAGTTACTTTACATTGCACGTAATGCACTAAGCTGATAACTGCACAGAAGGGTGTTTACTAGTACATCATGACTGCTCTGCATCACGCTGGTACCGCAAAACACTCATAAACCCAACTTTAGTACCTAACAGTCTGGTATATACAAGACACACCTCAACTGGTCAAAACCAGAAAAGCCCAGGAAAACAGCCTCTGAAAATACAACCACACAGCCTACCATAATATCCTATTAGCAATTTCAAACCCAGCACATATGTCTCTTTCCGCACAAACATGTTTTTACAAATAAGTCCAAAATACCTTGGATTTTCAATTAAGGAACGTAAATAATGTTTTACAGTTTCTCAAGTTTTAAGGTTCTTGCCATTAAAAGAGATAACCTCAAGTAACCAGCGACCACTTCAAATATTATTCCTGTGTACCAAGCTATCTAAAGTCTGCTGGTGTGAAAACTGTTTACCTGAATATTTGAAAAACTGTGTTTAAAAAAAAAAAGAAGTTTGAACATGCCAAACAATTCTAAAACAGTGACTTTAAGAATCTAGCTCTCAGCGCAAAAAATAGCCCCACATCCTGGAAAGAGGTCTTCACATATTCTATTTGGATAGTATTTACCTGCATTCCCTTGACTGCTTTTAACTACTAGGCTTAGAAAGGACTCTCACACACTTCCACTGTCTGTTGGATGCAATCAAGTAACAGTAAACGCTTTTTCTGCAGTTGAGGAAATGACACATTTCAAACTCAACATTATGACTTCTGTGCAAGATCAGAGAGGATATGACAATAGATTATGAAGAAGCAGCTTATGTTTAAATATATATGCAGCAGAGGCAGTCAGCAGCTCTTTAAACCGCAGAGTCAGGGAGAGATCTGGTATTGTTACTGGATTTGATATTTGCTTTACTTTACCACTGATAATTTTTTAAGACCTTAAAAAATGCATACATGTTTTTACACCAAGCAAGACAAATTAATTCTATATATAGGATTTGACCTATTCCTTAAATTCATCTAGTGAGTGTTCTGAAAGTGATCTAAATTTAATAAGCCACTTAACCAATGACGAAAAAATCAGAAGCTTCGCAAAGGTAAAAGTGGCTGGCACAATAGAGTAGATGAAGATCAAATACACAATCTTGGAAGCACATGTTCATATTTCATTGCTTGTCCAAAAGCTAAAGAACTAATATTTTGAGGAAGATCTTAAAAGTAACAACCAAATGAACATTACTGAATAATTAATGAAGCAACTACAAGCTCCTTACTAGGCATGGATAGGCCACGCAAGCTTCCTTGTGCTTCCACTAATGGGCCTTGATCTTGCCTCGCATGGGTTACCTCTAAGGACTGGAGAAGAAATTAGTGTTTGCCTCCATTTCAGTTCTTTACACTTATTTGATTGCCAACAAGACAACTATCTAACTACGTTTTTGATCCGCTCAGCAGAAACTGAGTAAGGCTACAGGTTTACTTTCAAAGAAGTCAAACAGCTACTGGATGGTAGCAACGTCTGATCTCCATAAACTACAGTACAAAATCATTATGTTTGACAGTTCAGCTACCTGCTTCTGTTACTTTATGGAGGTTCCTCTCCATTCAACATCCTTCCAACCCTCCAAACCTCTCTCAGCATCATACCATGTCTTATTCCCTATTCTTAACCAGATAAACTGTACTGCCTGGTAGCTGGTATTTCATAATGCCAACCAAATATTAAATTAGCAAGGTTAGAAAGTTCCTAGTCTAAATTTAACTTCAGATTTCTGAACAGATCTGTATCCCACAACCAGTATAGTTCATGTGAATCCGGAGGACAGAATAGGATACCTTCAACTTCTATGTGTTTGTCTGTTTGTCACAAGTTGAATCCTGCTCTACAGTGAATATAAAAAAGGAAGCTTGCATGAGTGCTTTGTGTCACCAGGCTGATATTCTAGCCTCTGAAACTGTTCATCATAACTGACAACTGCTACACTTAAGTACAGAGATCCCAACAGAACTGACTGCAGGAAAAATACCCTGACTTATTAAGTTCTCAAGAAAGACTACATTAACTCACTTGTCCCTTGCTGCTACCTCCTTGGAAACACCAAATGTTCACTAACCAAAACTCAAGGCAACTCCCATGTTAAACTTACTGACACAACGTTTATCTTAACATCGTTTTAGATGTACCTATTCAACTCGCACACTCCTTTTTATTGTAAAAAGTCTTCAGAGTTGTATTAGTTGCCACATGTTAAATGGGCCTGAGTAACTGAGATATAAACAACCCTAAGCGACAGCACAGGCCGGTCATGTACAGACACATACCATTTATATATATTATGTATATATATTCACATGTATAAACACACACACACGATGTACTCTACTTCCTGACAGCTCATCATTTCGAGCAAATACTTTACATTCCTCTGTTAGTCACAGCCCAAGCCAGCGTTGTTTCCTCATCGCCTCGCTGGAGGTTTGCGCTCCAGAGCGAGCCCCGG